GAACGCAGGACTTGTAAGGTATTTTGACAGCTCAGCTAAACACTAGCGAGACACAAATATAAGTTTAAAACATCAATAATTTTCAGTTTACATAGCATAGAAAGATACATAATAGAGGCTCAGAATGTGAGGTTAGTTGGCTGTTGGACAGCTGTTGGATGTTAGCGGTATTACCAACGTTGCCACATATTCTAATTTTGAATGGAATATTAGACTTCACAAGTGACAGATTGAACGTAATATCTAAAATGTATTCTTGACATACTGTGGCAGATCAGAAAGAATAATCACATCATCAGTGAAGCTGCGCAGGCCCCGAGTACATCTTGCAAATTCGCCCACAGAGAGGTACAACTAATTAGTAGAGATTCCGATACTGCTATATCAAATCTAGATATGACAACACCGCAGAGACATGGTGGCGCGGTTCTCTTGCCAGCCAGGCATCGCGAAATTCCATAAGAACATGCATAGGCCTACTTTGCGTGACGTCACCGGCTTTTCAGAGCCCAGTTGTTTGGCCTTGTACTCTCGGAGGTAAGGGGTGTGTCCGGCTACTGACGTCATGCGGTCTAGTCTCGCGCACAGGTACGTTGATTTTGAAATGCTTTTAGTGGACGTAAATATCAATATTTTTTGCTCAATTTTTTCTTGTGGCTTTGTAATAACAAAATCTCTCGATTTGAGTAAAGATCAAAAAATGGCGAACCTTTCTATTGTCTTGAGAACTGCAAAACGGTTCTAAAGCATACATACACGTACATATATGATGCTGTGAATACCTGATGTAAATAAAACCTAACCAGTACGAAATATTTATCGATTCTGCGCAAAACCGATGAGGCGCAAACAGAGTGCTGATTTTGCAATTAGTTTATTGATAGGTTGTTGAGTGACGATATTGGAAAATCCAAACTATCCTCAGCGAAGCAGAATTATACCCTGTAATAAAATTTGTGTGGACTGAAACCGTCTAATCGAGTACGCTACAGAGTTCGTTAATTTTTGATGAACGATGGTGCGGCCAATTTCAACGTACATAACGTACAGTACCGCTCAAAAGTTTCCGCAAACCGAGGAAAGACATGGAAGGAGTCCTGCAGAGGAATAATGCTTTAATACAATACTAATATTGTTTATAGGGTAATATGTGCTTTTAATAACAGGCTACTTGACTCATATCTAATATCAGAGAACAAATGAGTATTTCCTACAGTACATGACTTAGAAAAACGAAATATATTTAGTTCAGTTTTTAAAAACATTTTTAAAAACCCAAGTTGTACATATAAGTCTAGTTTAAAAAATTATATGTTTTATGTTTAATAGGAAACTGTGAGAACACTGTGGGCCATGATGTGGACGTTATACAAATTGTCACTCCTGCACTAACGTTTATGTAAGGACAGTGCATCTGATATAATGATAAACATAAGAAGAAAGAATAAGTAATACACTTGCATAATCTTCCTTCCAGAAGTAATTCAAAACTAAGCTCATGCGTCATAACTTCGGAATAGTTTTATCTAATATTGTATTTCTTCTTACACATATACCAGGGAAACGTACGGTGATGTCCAAGTTAAATTAGACGATAAAGTTTGCACAGTCAAATAAAATTTGTCCCGATGATATGGTATGCTCCAAGCAATATACTTAATCACGAGGCATTCTAATCCACATCTTTCCTGAGGTCTTTATTTTATATTCTCATACGATACAATAACGATAATTAGTATATTTTCCATGGAAACTAGTAACATGTTTTCTGTTTAAAAGTTTGAGAGGTTATGCTGCTGTTAGCTACTGTTTATAAATGGTATGACGTCAGAATCATATTTTTTTTTTTATATCGAAACAGCCGCGCAGGCAGAAGCCTAAATGCCGGAACACCGCGGCTGCTATGATGATCCCAAAGAAATTTTGTTAATACGATTTTTGAACTGCCTAAGGTTAGTAGAACTGGGAAAAGCTTCCTCCCGTAGTTTGTTCCACAATCTAGACACCCTCGGGACAAAGGAGCGGTCGTATCGGTCAGTTCTGGATGTACGAAGTTTGACACGGTTAGGATGGGACGCCGAAGTCAGGCGGGTCTGTCTGGCAGGCACATCGCGCGGCGGCATCATGGAAGAGAGCTCTGAGGAGCAAAGCCCGTTGGTGTAGCGATAGAAAAGAGCTAGATCGCCGTCGGCCCGCCGGTGCGAAAGAGTCCTGAGACTGTCTGTTAGAGAAGAGTCATCGATCAGTCGGACCTACCAGAAGCTTTGTTGATGTCGAGCGATAAGAGCACTCGTCTTACGGTCTTATGCCTGAATGTTACCTCCCGCATAGTGTGGGGAACCCTTTGAATTGACGGCACTTGGGCGTTGGTGGGGACGTCCATGGTGGAGTTGGCAGCAAAGATCTTGGCTAGCACTTCCGCCTTGGCCTTTGAGTCGAATACAATAGTTCCATCCTGACACGTAAGTGGTGGAAGGCTACTGTGTGAGAAGTTCTTTTTCAATCTGCTTGGCCAGCGTCCAGAAAGACCGACTGCCATTGCGCTGCGACATTACCCTGTGCCTAACTTTTATATCATGCTGGGTTTTGGCATTGCGAACCGCTTCGTTATATTTGTTTCTGGACTCGACGTCGGCTTGTCTGTTCTCTACAGTGGGGTTTTGTAAGTAGGTTCTGTGGGCCTTGATCTTCTGCTGGCGAGCAGTGTCACATGATTTGTTGAACCAGCCGTTGGACCCTGGTTTAGGAACTTTCACTGTGTGAGGGATGTATTCCTCCATTCCGACGTGGATAATTTCGGTTATTGAAGAACAGACAGTCGTCGCATCCGCGTCAGTGAAACAGACATCTTTCCAAGGAAAGCTAGAGAAGAAGTCTCTGAGCCCCTCCCAGTCGGCATGTCCGTAATGCCAAGTTTTGCGGCCTGTGCGAGTTTCTGCGGCCACAGCGGCTTCTGACCGAAACCTAACCTCCACAACACCGTGATCTGAGTTACCCAGGGGGGACAGGACGGCAGTGCTGTAAGGGGCAGGATGCGTGATCAGAAAGAGATCCAGCAGGCTACTGGCGTGTGACGAGACGCGGGGAAAAAAAGTAGGGCTCGTCACCAGCTGGGTCAGCCCTTGAGTAAGAGCGAACGCTTCCACTGCACGACCTGCTGCATCGGTCTTATTTGAGCCCAACCAAAGCTCATTATGGGCATTGAAATCACCGAGAAGAACTATCTCTGAAGCGGGGTGATTGATGTTCAGGAAGTCGATCTGGACGGCGAGGTATTCGAGTAGGTCATCCCAGTTATGGTTCGAGGGAGAGCGATAAAGGCAGCAAATAAATTTGGGTGATGTTTTGGAGTTGAGGCGAAGCCACAGAATGTCCTTCCGGTCTGATTCCAAAGAAAGATCCCTGGAGCAGGAAAGACTGCTGCGGACAAAAGCCACAACTCCTCCGTTCTTTCTCAGATTGGAGTGCACCTCGTAGTTTGGGAAGTTGAGATGGTTAATCGGTGCAGCCTCTGAGATTTTTGTCTCCGCCAAGAAAAGCACGGCGGGACGATTGGATTGCAGGTAGTGATGAACAGCATCAATGTTGCTGTTGATCCCGCAGATGTTCGAAAAACAAATTTTATCTTCGATGTTGTTCCCTCGAGCCCACCCTCCACCCGGACATTCCGAGAGTGGAGTGAGTTTACGTCCGGAGTTTTTAGTGCTCGAGGGATCCATCATCATTAATTTCTTTGTTTTGGTAGATAACCGACTGCATAGCTTAGGTGTGGAAACATGCGGACATTTATAAGACACCCTGGGAAAAGCTAGCGGGTGGTACTGCCTCGGTCGACTGGTCCTTGATGTGGGCCAAACATGGCGGACAGCGCCTGTCTAAGAAAAATGCACTTTCATATTAAAGTTTTACGGTCTCTTATGTCTGAAAATAATATAGTATTAATTTTTTTGGTTTAATATTAACTATTTGAGACCTATTTAAAAAAGTGTCATCGCTTTTACAGCACATTATATCTACACACCTTTTGATGATAAGATCCTCATTTCTTTTACAATGTATTTGCGATAGTTAGCATTATAGGAGCGAACTATTCGGGAATAAATGTTTCTTGATCGTATAATGAATCCGAAACATAATTGGAACACAATTGGAACTCCTGAGTCTTTCCTTCTCAGTCTCAATTCCGATCGAATTTCTCTGGATTAAACTTGATCAGAGACACATAAAACAGTGTCTAACTCACAGAAACTGCTCAGAAACAAGATGAAAAAGACGTGGAAGCAGCTTAAACATATTATATAAGAGATGTGAAAATACTGGTCGCAAATACTTGTTGAGGTAGACATCAGACTAATCGACTGGGAACTTCATTTTTTGACGTTTGAGATGCATCTGATCATTTTTGTAGGGGTTAAAAATTGGAGGTTGTAAAGGGTGGGCGAGGATATATTTAAACTTTTTGATATTAGTATATTTATACGCCATTTCCAGAAAATTCTACGCAAATGCCAGATTTCACACATCATAGAGGTACATTTTCTTTTAAAAGGAGAATGATAAATGTTTCCGAACGCGTCTCCTCCTGCTATCTGGACTCACCGCACGGCGTGCCGGTCTGGTTGACTGTTCTGCCCGTGCTTCAGCAGCGCCGCCGTTTGACGTGTCGTGGTTTTTTCCAATTTATTCGCTTGTATTCAATATATGGTAAGTGACAAAGTTGCAAGATGTACGGTAACTGACGCTAGGGCGGGGAATGGATTAATCTAATGGGCCCGTTTGACTGACTTGATCTGTTTAATTTCTCTGCTGTTCATGTTCGTGACCATTTTTTTTCAGGGGGCTTAACTTGTGGTAAATTTAATCCTTTATGAACGGAGGACGTCGTTGTGTAGGAAGTGCGGAGTCAACCCACTTGACACTATTATTCTGAATGATCATATTATTATACTCTTTGCCTCTTCTTCTTCCTTGCAAATATTTTTACGGTACGTTTTACTTACCAGTAGCTCAAAAGGTCACAGGCACTAAGTTGCTCCATTTCACAGGTGTCAGGTACCTCAGAATCTGCTCCGATGTATGTTTTGTCCTTTAGCAACCACTAATTTATTACAAATAAACTCTTGACAAGAACTTTCTTCGCATAGCTCCAAAGAAAAATCTTCAAAATTATTAGACAAATTGGTAAACACGTTCTAACGTACAAGTAATATTAACAGAAAGCAAACGACATACACGTGGGTTTTCTACTCTAGCGATACAGGAGAAAAATACAATTTCTCAATTTCAATTCACACTAGTCACAATAATTTTCCGGTCAATACTCGTGTACCATTTCGCAACTACAGGCGCCGCGCCGAACTTACTATTTTTTTAACTCTAAGTATTACCTACGCCTCGCCAGTGTTATTTTATTAATTGTTTACCTAAAACTTGCACGATTGTTTATTTTATGTATGAAAAATTAATGTTTTCGTGCTTTTATTACTATATGACATAGTGATGGTGACCTGGCCAGAAGATTGGTTCAAACCGGTTTTCAATGAAATGCTGATGATTTCCGGATTCCAGTAATGGTTAATAATTGAATACCAATTTCATCCTTAATATTTCTGTGGGACTTGAATATAGCAAGACTAAAAACAACAGTTATCGTCCCTATTCAAAAAAAGAATGATGTAACTGTCATAGCCAATTACAGAGGAATTGCACTTCTCTCTGCGTTTTCTAAGGTATATGAGAAAGCCTACTATTCCAGACTTGTTCAATTTATTTGTCAACAAAACTTACTTAATTCAGTGCAGTTTAGATTTATCAAAGAACGGTGCACTCAAAATGCTGTTTTATCATTATGTAACGAAATTTCACAAAATTCTGAAAATAAAGAAACAACAGCATGCATATTTTTTGATCTCAGTCGGGCATTCGATACAGTTAATCACTATTTGTTGTTGAATAAGTTGGAACAGTTTGGAATAAGGGGTTGCGCGTATAATTGGATTAAAACGTACCTACAGGATAGGATGCAATCAGTAAAAATCACTAATAACTTTCAATCATATAAATCTGATGCCAAGATAGTATCAACAGGGGTGCCTCAAGGGAGCACTTTAGGACCTTTGTTATTCATTTTGTTTGTCAATGATATTTCGACTTCTTGTCCTGGCGTATTCAAAACACTTTTTGCAGATGATACTACATTCAGTACTCATGCTTCCTATCCTCACTCATTGGGTACACTTACAAATAATGCTTTGTGTCAAATGAGAAATTATTGTAACTCCAATGGCCTTATCTTAAACTCACAAAAAACTGATGTAGTTCTATTCAGAAATATAGATTTAAATTTCAGCCTACGTGTTTATGGTGAGGGATATAACTTAAGACAGAACAACTACACAAAATTCCTTGGTGTTTATTTAGATACTAAGCTAACATTTGGTAAACATATTGAGTGTTTGATCAAGCGATTGTCAACCCAATCATTCATTATATGGCAGCTTCGACGTCACGTAAGTACTGAAATATTAAAGCTCTACTACTTCGCTCACGTCCTTTCCACACTAAGCTATTGCATTGTTGCTTGGGGTGGTAGTAACAGGGTTGGTGAATTATTTATAGTACAAACAAGGATTATCAGAACCATGTTGCTTAAAAACTCCAGGCATTCATGCAGAGAATTATTCAGTTATCTGAAGATCATGACAGTATACTCCTTGTATGTTTATAAGTGTGTCGTTTATGTTAAAGAAAATTACGAAAGCTATGTCTCCAGAAATGATGCTCTGGTTATAACCTCCGTACAAACCACAATGTAGTTATACCTGCTCACAGGCTTGCCTCTATCTCCAAAGGGGCTTCTGTCATGCCTGTGAGATTGTTTAATCACTTACCCGTGTCGATTAACGGCATAGTATCTATTTCAGTCTTCAAACGCAAAGTACGAGATTTGTTGCTATATCCATTTTACTCTGTTGACGAGTACCTCAACCATCAATTTTAATTTAGGTACATTTTATCGTGCTCTTGTCGTGCTGTTTATGTACTCTAATATTGTTAGATATCCTATATGTCTTTAATAATGTCACTGGATTAGTTATGTAAATTTAAGATGCGGAAGTATATATATATATAATCCATTCAGTGTAATGTTTATTTATTTATGACACTTTCCCATACTTGTTTATACAAGTCGAATGGAAATATATTATTATTATTATTATTATTATTATTATTATACAGGGTGTTTCAGTTTATTGTTGCATAACTATTATAATACAGGGTGTTTAAATTTACTTTCTAAAATAGTTTTTTTAAATATTTTGAACAATATTTGATGAATTACAGTGAAAATTGGTATACAAGGGTTTTTTGGTACGACAAAACGAATCATGGGCATAGTTTTACTGTAGCCGCTAGAGGGCGCTCTCTACTGTACCTGTAGTGTATTAAAATGACCGAATATTTTTTCTTATTGCAACTTTTTGCTTTTTGGATAAAAAACTGATTTTTCGCACTTTTCAACATAAAAAAGCTCTCTTGTGAATTTTCGTTATAGTTTTTGAGATATTTCGATTTTTAAGGTTCGATGCATTTTTAATTATTTATGATAAAATAACGTTAAAAAGTCAGTATCTCGATAATTTTTAGAAGTAGGCTGTGCCTGCAAATATTTTTGAAATCGAAATCAGAATAAGGTTAAACGTCAATTAGTTGACAGTTAGTTTTTTGTCTGTTGAAACCTGAAACGTTTTTTTTGCAATTGTGAATGCACGAAATTTAGTTTCTTTTACCTGTTTTTTTGTAAGTTTTATAAAAATGCCATTTTTATTCTCCAATCAAGAGTTAGCGGATATTCATATTGTGTATGGCTTTGTAAATGGAAACGCAGCAGAAGCAGCCAAAGAATACGCACGAAGATTTCCAAACAGACGACATCCAACTCGCTCAGTATTTGTAAGAATGCATCGCCAAATGATTGAAAATGATTTTGGAAATCTCCAAAGGGATCAAAACATAAATGTTCGTCAGCGCAGATTTACCCGTATGATTCTGCGTGAGTTTGATAGAGATCCGACCACAAGTGTTAGGAGAGTTTCTGGTGCCTTGGAAATTTCAGCAAGCCATGTTCACCGTGTTCTTAGAAATGACCATAGACGTCCTTACCATTTGCAACCTGTGCAAGGACTACAGCCAGGGGTCGGAGAACGAAGAATCACATTTTGTCAGTGGATTCTAGATAGAACTGATAATAATAGGGAGTTTTTAAGTAACGTTTTATGGACCGATGAGTCATGCTTCACTAGACGTGGAGAGGTAAATTTTCATAATCAACATATTTGGTCGCATGAAAACCCGCATGCAGTTCGGGAAAGAAATTTTCATGCATGAATTTAGTGTGAACGTGTGTATTGGTATCTACTGTAATCGACTATTTGGACCCTACCTTTTGCATGCAAGGTTATATGCTGCGACCTTCTTGGAATTTTTAAAGGCTGAACATGCAAATATGTGGGATGATGTTATGTTAGATTTAAGAAGATTGGCCTGGTTCCAGCTTGATGGTTGTCCAGCTCATTATTCGAGAATAGTTAGAAACTGGCTGGACGAAAATTATCCAGAAAGATGGATCGGCCGTGGAGGACCAGTCGCCTGGCCTCCACGATCCCCTGACCTAAATCCATTAGATTTCTTTGTGTGGGGATTTCTAAAAGAAAAAGTGTACCAGACTCCCGTAACCACAAGAGATATGCTAATAGACAGAATCAGGAATGCATGTGATGAAATAAGGCCTTATTTGAATAATGCTATACCACGTTCGATCATTCGTAGATGTGAATTGTGTATTGAACAATTGGGTTTACATTTCGAGCAACTACTTTAGATTTTGTATGTTTGTCCTAACTATCCAATAGCATTTTAGTTGTAAATAATTAATTTAATTTGTTAAAAATAATATTGGAAAATTAAACAAATTAATATTGTTTTTTGTGTTTATTTGGAGTTAGGAATTACTGATGTGTTTAAAAACACAATCTGAACGATCATCTTAATTACTTGTAATGCCCAATTCGAAAATGTAAAAAAAAAATATTATTTTCCCATAAATAATTGAAAATGCATCGAACCTTAAAAATCGAAATATCTCAAAAACGGCTAACTATAACGAAAACTCACAGGAGAGCTTTTTTATGCAAAAAAGTACAAAAAAACAGTTTTTTTCTTCACAAAGCAAAAAATTGCACTAAGAAAAAATGTTCGGTCATTTTAATACACTACAGCTACAGTAGAGAGCGCCCTCTATCGGCTACAGTAAAACTAGGCGCATGGTTCGTTTTGTCGTACCAAAAAACCCTTGTATACCAATTTCCACTGTTATACATCAAATATTGTTTGAAATATTTAAAAAAAACTATTTTAGAAAGTCAATTTAAACAACCCCGTATTTCGGAAGCCACGCATTTTTCGACCCATGTTTATATAGACTTTATGCATTAATTTTAAAAGTTCTATCGAATCTCAAAGTTATGCAACAATAAACTGAAACACCCTGTATATACAGGATGTGAGTGAACTTGAAACATCAACATCCAAGCAACAAGATTGGCGACCTCTGATGAAAATTAGACCTTTAGTGTGCTGCATCAAGGATTTTAGAAAAGTCCGAAACTTTTATTTGGTCAAGGTGTGTAATCACGATTCGTGCATTTATGCAGTTCAAATGGAATCCACCGCTTAGTTCCTAAATAATCCCTATAACATTTCTGTAGTGCTAAGTGCAGAGGTGGTATCCGAACTCATCATATAATGCGTATGTTTAAATGATTAAATTTTCAGCTTGATTCGTCAACTGACTGCCGAAGCTGGTCAAATCACGCCTGGGCAACGTGCCGATAAGATGGTCGATATCCTGTTCTGATATCTCATTCCAGGCTACTGCAACTTCGTGAGTAAGAGCTGCTAAAGTCTGTGGAGGGTGTTGCAAAGTCAAGAGCCTGCGACCTATCGTGTCCCAGACATGTTCAATTGGAGATAGGTCAGGCGATCGTGGTGGCCAAGGTGAACGGTTGATGCGATGTTGATCCATGAAACCTAACGATGCTTTGGCAATATGCGGTCTTGCACTGTCTTGCTGAAAAATCGGGTTTTTTGATGGTAGTTAGGTATGGAATAAGATGAGGCTCCTCTACTTCCTGAATTCCACGCACTCTAAGCATTTTGAGCAATCACAAAAAGCCTTCGCAATAAGCTACACGAAATTTAATATTTACCTGACACCGAAAATGTACGAAAACTGAAAGCTTCTTTATCACCAAACAATACACGCAGCCACCACAAAGACTTAATAGAAAAACCTGACCATTTTATCACTTGTTGTTCATGGCAAGATAAATCAATAAGCAAACAATTCTTGAATTCTGACAAACATACGTAGATGCTTACCTTTTTTTTGTCACTCAGTATACATTAAAGATTTGAACATCTGATTCATTTGTAATAACAAGGACTAGATAGAAGGAGCAAGTCTATAGATTTGTTTGTCTCAAAAAACTCCGTAGTCAGGATGAAAGTGGCATACTACAAGTGAAGTTGACATAAGTTAATTTTTTGACAGTTCTGTCATTAAACTCGTATTTTCAGAGTAATTTTTTGGAAACAAAAAATATGGAATTTGTAACACTATACTTTAGCGCATATCGCAAATACTTAATTTATTACTTTAAAATGAAGGATTAGAATGTAACTTTTAAGAAAATATCATTTTTTCTTTAAGGAACCTTCTGCTTGCTATTTTATAAAACTTCGAAGCTGTATTTTTGGTGGTAATACTCTAGAATAGAATACTGTTTTATAAGGTTTTTGTACAAAAAGATGCTCTAAATTATAAGAATATAACATACACTGTATAGTACTAAGAAAAATAGATTTGAAACAGTAAAGAATCGTTTTTTTGCAAAAAAAAGGTTCAAAACCAGACGTGTTATTACACATTAGCTTATTAGCTTAAATAACCGATCAAAATAAATAATGGTATTTACTTGATAAACTGTGTAGAGGTGTTGCTTTGTGTTTTTTCAATGTCTTCTTGAAATTCCTTAACCATTTCTTTCGCGTATTTTCAATGAGGTCAAAGTTTTTGCGTTTATAAGAAATATTTGAAAGTACAAACAATCCTCAATGGCCATTTTATAACGCTCATTTCTTGACACATAAGATACATGATGTCCATTGTTGCCAAGTTGTACCTTTTTTGGGAGTTATACGTAATTAGAAATGAGGTTATTTGCCAAACAAGTCTTAATTTATTGTAAATGGCTTGTTTTATGAACAGTTGTTCCAATATTTACCGAAAACTAGATGGAATTTTGAACAGTATGTGTCTTAACAGTGGAAAATGCACCAGCGGCTCGCGTGACAGAAAATACAAAAGGCACCAGCGGTCATTGCACATAAAAATACCAAACGTCGATTCGTCGATTTGGACCACCTCGCCAGGTCCACCCAACATATCAGCGTCCAACATTATAGTTAAATAAAGATTAACGATCATTTCATCAAATCATCAAAAAACTTGCAATATTCTTTGTTATGTTTTCATTATTTAGTGATTTGCAACAGCTACTTTTTCAGTTATTTCTCATATATATCACATTTAATTAGATACATCTTGTAACATCAGATTCACTTGAAATATTTAATTCTTCAAGTACATACTTACAAAGAGTAAATAGATTATAACTATAATATAGGAAAAACAATAATAATTATAAGTACTTTTGTAAAGGGCATAAGGCATTCTTCAAAAAAGTCTCTTTAGCTAACGCTATAGTAGGGCACAAGGTGGATTTAGACCAATGAACTGTCAACACTGATGAAACAGGCGTAACGCGACTTCATTGCGGCTAGAATGAGAAACGAGAAGGATAGCGCTAGTCAGGGCAAAACATTGGCAAAACATCGTGGTCCATTGTGGTATTTCCATATATGTTCTAAGGATTTTTGGTGAATGTTTGTTTTTAGTGACGTTAAAGATTAATAGTGATAGTTTGCGACAATTATTATAAACATTTTTATGCCGGACAGCCTTCAAGAGCTGTTGTTTTATGTGATATTTGTTTAAAAATGGTTGAATCTTGCAGTCCGGTGAATTGTTGCAATGAAGTTTCACAGGTTGGTTTTAATCATCTCATTCATTTTTGTGTGAGAATTAATTGTTAATTGGTAATTCGAGGAAATATCTGCATTTTTAGGATACCTAGAGATCCTAACATGAGGAAGTTGTGATTACATGCTATAAGAAGAGAAAGCTTTACTCCCAGTACAACAACGGTAATTTGTGAAAAGCATTTCACTCCAGAGGATTATGAAGTTAGTGTTTATGGAAATAAGGTACTAAAAAAGGTGCCAGTTCCATATGTGTTTGATTTTCCAGCCCATCTCAAGAAAGAACCTAGCCATCGAAGGGTTTTGAAAAGAAAACATGAATACATAATTTCTAGAATGAACTATGGTATAACCTATATTGTATCATAATGAAAAACTGTGCATCTACAGTATTGTTAATGCCATTGTGCACAAATATTTTGTATACATATATATATATATATATATATATAAGGGTTTTTTCTTTGTAAACTTTAATCTCTACAAAATTGGACGTGTTCCCACTACATTTAGTGTTGACAGCTACAGTACTATAAAAATAAATTTAAATGTGCATAAATACTATTTGGAACATTATAAAGATATAAAGAAAATAACATGTATTTATTGTGATATTTCTTAGATATCTTATTTTGTATATGTAAGAAATAGCATATTAGAGCAGTTAAGTTAATTATAAGCAGACATGTAATCTCTTTGCTACCTGAATTATTAATTACTTATGTTAAATACTAATTTTTATATCTTCAAATGTGTAAAGGAGAATTTATTGTCAAGTTTCATACATATGTATATATAAACAAATAAACTTGGTTTTTTAATTATAATTACGTTTCCAGGATTTTATCTCGTTCCAGTTGCCTGAATAACTTTTAAATCTTCTCTAAGAATCCTCGGTTTCCTATGCAATTCATTCAAGTCCGCGCGCTTTTTGCCCTGACTAGCTCCATGTCTCTCTCGGACCTCTTTGTCGTATGTTGGCCGCATTATCGTTTCATTGTACAAATGGGACGGGGCGATTCCATCAGTGTTGACAGTTCATTGATTTAGACAGTATAACCTGCCGGCCTCACCTCCAAATCGCATTTTCATGGCAATCCTGTGCCGATTGCACATTTTTGCGCTAGTATATCAGTAAGAATTTGACAAACCAAATTAAGGTACTCATATCTATTCATGATTTGGCAACATCGCAACTAGATGGAGAGAATATGAGAGTGACGGTGGTGTAGTGATGGGAATAATTATCTGAAATGAAAGAAATGACTACTTAACAATGAACTATTTTCACCATTAAAATAATGTAAAATCGTATTATTGCGATGAACAGTATCACACTAACTTACAGTGTATGTTATATTCATATAATTTTGAACAATCTTTTGTATAAACAAGAAGAAAACAGCTTATAAAGCAGTATTCTATACCACAGTATTAAAGAGAAAATGATATTTTCGTGCAAGTTAAATCCTAATCTTTCATTTTAAAATAAGAAATGGAATATTTGCGATATGCGCTAAAGTATAGTTCAGCCATGCAATTCGCGCGACAAACAATGCAATGTAAGCTAGAGGCGTATAGAAACTTCAAACAAAAATGTGAGATTTTAGTATTTTGTGGTCAAAAGCTGTACCCATCAACCAAATATGCCCAAAAATTGCAGATACCTCCTCTGTGCTTAGCATGACAGATTTACACGTGGGTTGTTAAGAAACAGTTGATGTTTCCCTATATAGTTGCAGTTCAATTGCATTTGCATTTCTGTATATCTGTACTTGATACTTGATTTGTGAGGGTAAACCTATTACATATGTAGACCATAATTACGATGCACAAAGCAAACCATCCAAAATTGTTATGCCAAGACCAAATAAAAGTATATTTACCACATGTCAGAGCTCTTTGGACCAAAAACGCTACAACGTGTTATCTCAAGAGCAGTGTTTTCCAACTTGTGGGACAAAACCCCTAGGGGTCGCAATGGGGTTATAGGGGGGGGGGGGAAGGTCGAGATTTAAAAATAAAACAAAAACGCTTTGTGAAATAATATATTACTATTTGAATGACGCCGTAAATCAAAATTAACGACTAAATACTATTAAATCTGATGGAATATATTGCAATTATTAAAATAATTAACAAACTCTTTCAAACGTAAACAGTAAAGTAAAATGGTAAAGGCCATCAATTACTTGTAAATCAGGTACGCTATTTCTGTCGGTTTTTGGTTTGAATGAAATAGGGGGTCGTGAACAATATTTTTAACAAACAGCGATCGCGCTATGGATAAGTTTTGGAAACACCGCTCTAGATATAAGAAAATCTCACCGGTTCAGTTGAAAGTGTCGGTGAAAGCGTTATCGATAGAAACATTTAAAAAAATTATCTGCATGTTTGTACAATACCTCGACATTCTTTTTTTGCTGTTTTTAATTGTATTACAAATGCATATAACTTCATATACAAATTGAAAACTGAATTACTTCCAGTAGTGCTCCTGTCCTGTCAGGTGGCGCTGGAGATCAAACTGTCAAAGCAGATGTTGAATAGACAAACTTGTTAGAAAGGTACCCTGTTTTCCGCGACACCTTATCACGTTTATTGACAGCTGATCAGCAGTTGGCATTTTTCTATTCATAATCTTAGATATAACACCCAACCCAACTAACGACATCTACTGCTAGCTTCCAGATAACCCTCCATTTTGTCGATAGTAAGAGAATGGCGATTGTGTAGCCGTCGATTTGCGAGATAGTTTGTCGTTAGTTGTATCATACTAGTAAAAATACACTATATGACTGTTTAGATAATTTAATGATCACTTCTATGGTTTACAACATAATTATAGAATAAAAATAAAAATACTTAAAGTTAGAGAGGAGGTAACGATGTATCAGTGTACGGTGTTACTTTTCATAACAAATATCATACTGAATATACTGAAGATACCAGCAATTTACATAGGTGTTGTAGTGATGTATTTCTTACTAAAACAATGTATTAAAGGAACTGAGAAATACATCTTTTACAGCTTACTCATTAAACAATTCAAAATTTATAGCGCCCTATTGTCTATATACGAGAGCTATTTTTTAGTAAGAACCGTTTCGTAAAGGAGAAACTTCATTTATGGACGTAAAAGTACATAGTCACCATAAACATTTGTCAGTTCGTGGCACCAGCTTTTGGATCCTGTACAGTTAGTAACTGTTTCTTTTTAGATGTCATCATTTTCCAGGCTAAGAAATTTCTTAAATTTTGGAGAAGATGAATGTCTGAGTATTAAATCAGGGCTGTATGATTCCCAAAGAAACTTGTCCAGTTGCGACAGCGTTCTTGCGGCATCGTGAGGCCGCGCGTTGCCGTGATGCAGAAGGACGCCGCTATACAGAAGCCCCTGCCGTTTTGAATAGAATACCAAGGCTACAATAATGTTTCACAGCACCTTTCAGCGTTTCAAGCGTTAAAAAAACGAATGACTGAGTTTTGCCGGGTGTACTGAGTGACATGGCAACAAGCAAAGCACCATAATCTCCCAACCAACCGACAGAGACGAGAAATGTAATGGCGGCGTAGTGGAAGACTGGCCAAGAGTATCTGAGGTTGAACGTACGTCGCGTGACAGGACGCGCGGCTCGTTGCGGAATCGGTCCTTACAGTAAAAATAACACTCGTACAATCAGTACCATAAAGCATAAAGGAATGTACTGTTAAGTTGATGTGTTCGTTCGTTTTCTGTATAATAGCAGCATATTTCTAAAACGTACACGCTACTCATGTCTAACAGCTCAAAATAAATGTTAAGTAGATGGACTCTATATTTTTCATACGTACAGTGTAGCGGTACCAGATGAGTCATATACAAATATACTGCTACTATCAAAACATTTTGCTATCGTTGCGATATTCGGAAACTATAATTTTGTGAGTTATATATTGGAGAATACTTACTCGATCAGGATATACATATATTCAACGGAACATATGGTAGGAATTTCCCGAAATAAGCTACCTTATATGTTTAGAAAGTGGAATGTCAACGTTTTACATAGTATCTTATGGCACAATTATTACATCTACTTAGTAGATGGAGTTAGTCCGAAATATTCATATAAAATCTCACTGCTGCCTTTCCGCATCTTCTTTTTTAGGGTTTGAACCCATTTTGAGAGCTTCCTCCAGTACATCTCCTGTAACATATCCTGTACTCCTCCTGTTCGATAGTCGATTCCGAGACCTCCTTTTTCGCTGGGTTTCGCTCATATCTGAACTGTAATAAATACATACGTCTTAAGTCTGAACTGAAAATAATGGTTATGCATACTTTGAACAATAAACTTCATCGCAACAAAAGTCATTGTATTGCATAATGTTATAGTCAAACGTCAAAATGGAAGAGAACATTCACATGCTCGATCGTCGCTTCGCTAGTCGCTGCCTACCCAGGAATTTATCTCCCGCTAGCCAATTTGAATTTGAAGAATCGAATTTGAAAGCATCGTAAGCCACTGACATCGCGGCTTACCTTAGAATACAGTGAGATCCGCGTACACGTACACAAAGGTGCACGGTATTAGCAGTAACGTACGTTGAGCTTTGGTACAAGAGTCTATTCCACTTTGGACGCAGAAACTTTCTCAATATTGTAACGCCCTCGTATAGCTGAGGCCTTGAGCGGCGAGGAATTGCTTGGCAGAGAGAACGCTTATGCAACAAGAATTGCACGACCATGCTTCCATTCTGGACCGTTTGCGACGCAATCGCGAGTATTCGAGTTGCCATCTAGACCCCTTCCATGGAAGCTCACGACTCTGCCTGGAAAACGCTAGAATATCTCTGAATTGAAATAGGATAATAGTCCAGTCGTCATAGTTATAAATTATTTGCAAGCGTTATAAATTAAAGCATTAATAAATTAGACTTTGGACAGTAAAAACGGTGTTTTCCTTACACTATTTTAGCATAGCAATGCGAGCTGGGAGATGTACAGAAGATAGAGTAAGACAATGTTCCTTCGATTGCTGCTGACTTAAAATGGGGTCCCTATTGCTTATTTAGCCATGTGGTATGTTTCGAGTTGCCATCTAGACCCCTTCCATGGAAGTTCACGACTCTGCCTGGAAAACGCTAGAATATCTCTGGACGCGTCGATAGGTGAATATCAGGGTTACAGGAAAAGTCGTGCTAGATCCGTTAAGGGCGTGTAGTACCCATCATTTCTGACTTATTTCATTATGAAACACCCTACCCTAAACTTAACCCTTTTCGAGATATTCAACTTTTAATGTTTTTATTGAAAATTGCCGATTTTTAGGCTACTAAATGTATTTATTTTTATTTTGTGTGTGTTATTATTACTATTATTGCATTTTAACATGTGTAATAAGATGCTTTAGGGCGTCAATCATTAAAATAGTCCATAAGTTAATTGAATAGGCTGTAGTAGATAAGTGAATGTTAAGAAATTGAAAAAAATATCAGAAAGTTTATTTTTCTCTAAGGGATATCTAAAAAAAATATTATGGCAATTGTTCGGCAGATGTGTTTTAAAATATCTATGTTTTATCAGCTATCTAACGAGGTATAACAATCTAGGATTTTATTTAAATGCATTGAAAAAACTTAGTTTCATAGGCGACAGTGGAGAAGAAAATTGATACTTAGCCCTAAAAAGTAAAATAAAACAATAGGTAAGCATGAAATATCATTTATTAAATCAGGTTTTCACACAACTTTTTCTTACTCTACAGTTCATGTTCAACATGGCTGCCTCTGTTTCTAATACATTGTCGCATCCTTCTACGGAGACCAGTCTTTACAACTGCAGTGGTCAACGTTGTCCTTAGTTGATTTGCTGCATCGACAATCCTTTCTCTTAATTCTTCCACAGACGAAACTGGATTTGGCTCGCTGTAGACAAGACTTTTCATGCACCCCCACACATGAAAATCCATGGGGGTTAGGTCCGGACTTCTTGCTGGCCATGGCAACGGCCCACCTCGTCCTATCCATTTGTTTGGATAATTTGTGTCCAGCCAGTCTCTGACACTTCTCCTGAAATGGGCAGGGCAGCCATCATGTTGGAACCACATGTCCCTTCTCAAGTTGAGTGGCAGATCATCCAGCAAATCTCTGAAGTCTCCTCTCAAGAAGTTTTCGTAATTTTCCCCATTTAGATTGTCCGGGAGAAAGTAAGGTCCAATCAAATGGTTGGAGATAATGCCCATCCACACATTCACGCTGAATCTTCGTTGGGACCTCGCCACTCTTTTCTTATTGGGATTCCTTAGTACTTTTGGGGCCCAGTAATGGGCGTTGTGATAGTTAGTTATGCCATCGTTATCAAATTTGGATTCATCTGTCCATAAGATATTTCTTAGAAAATCTGGGTCTTCTACGTCAGCATTTAGCATAAATCTGCGGAAGTCCAACCTTCTCGCGGGGTCTCCTTCTTCAATAGTGTGTACCGGCGTGTAATGGTACGGGTATAGGCCAGCAGTATGCACTGTAAACCACACTCTCCATTGCGAAAGTCCCAGATCACGGGCAACACGATTAGTGGAAATGGTCGGATCCGCTCGAAAGCGTTGCACTATCTCATTGTCCTGCAGTTCTTCGTTGTCATAAATTCGTGGTCTTCCCAGGTCTGTATTTCGTCTCAAAACAGAGCCAGTTTCTCGAAGTCTTAGATAAACTCTGTTAAAAACGGCCACATCCGGCACTCGACGACCGGGGAAGCGAGTTCTGTATTCGTTGCGAGCTTGCGCAGATACACAATCGCAGTATCCGTAACAAATAAGCATATCAGCATATTCCTCAGGTGTGTAGGACGTCATCTTCAACACTTCCGTATCACAAGTACAAATCAGAGTCCAGTGAACAAGCACAGTATTCACAAATCAGAAGAAATAGTCCAGAATCGTAGCCAAGTCGAGGAAAAGAGCAAAACGATATCACATCTACTATGTACGAAGCACAAAAGCAGACTGACAACCAAAACAACATCCCGTGTTGGATTTCCAGCCCTAACCGGTTATTATAATATGTTTTCTTTCATTCGCACCCACATTAAATCGTCATGTCTCGCTCGCACGGTGCGTCTAAACTTGAAGGAGAATAGGCGTGGGAACTGGGAACAATTGCCATAATATTTTTTTTAGATATCCCTTCGAGAAAAATAAACTTTCTGATATTTTTTTCAATTTCTTAACATTCACTTATCTACTACGGCCTATTCAATTAACTTATGGACTATTTTAATGATTGACGTCCTAAAGCATCTTATTACACATGTTAAAATGCAATAATAGTAATAATAACACACACAAAATAAAAATAAATACATTTAGTAGCCTAAAAATCGGCAATTTTCAATAAAAACATTAAAAGTTGAATATCTCGAAAAGGGTTAAGTTTAGGGTAGGGTGTTTCATAATGAAATAAGTCAGAAATGATGGGTACTACACGCCCTTAACGGATCTAGCACGACTTTTCCTGTAACCCTGTATACCCGGCCAGACGGCGGAAGCAGTCATAGTCGAGACTCAGTCAACCCAGTGGACAGCGAACGCGGATTTGAAATAGGATGATAGTCCAGTCGTCATAGTTATATATTAGACTTTGGACAGTAAAAACGGTGTTTTGCTTACACTATTTTAGCATAGCAATGTGAGTTGGGAGATGTATAGAAGATAGAGTAAGACAATGTTCCTTCGATTGCTGCTGACCTAAAATGGGGTCCCTATTGCTTATTTAGCTTATGCTGGATTTGCCAAGTAGTTGTTTTCCGGCAAAAATATTTGTTTTAGCGGAATGGTATCAATGTTTGTCCTCATGATGGAAGGAATGAAAAAAAAAACAGTACTTCAGCAGTGTACAGAAAGCAGTACTGATAGATTTAACTGAAACCAACGGGAATTACTAAAAGTATATATTTACCAGATAACCACTCATTTATGTTTTAATATTCACAAAAAAAAAAGTTTGTTTTATAGTTACAATGTTATTCAAAACAGGCGGCCAGCCTGCGGCCCGTTGGACACATCATACTTTTACAAAATATATTTATTTTAATTTAAACATGCTGCTTTCGTCCATCACACCTCAAACAGCCAACCATATATGGCTGTTTCGTGATTTATGGCAACTTATCAGCATGGTCTAGGCATGGTCTCCTAGACAAGCGATTATATCTATCCGAGGCATTAGATCTATCGAAGCAAGACAGCGAAAAGCGCCATCTATTACCAGAATCGGAATCACATACTTTTCACAAATATTAATTATTACAGGTTCAATTTGAATATCGATCATATTGTCCAGATCCCACATCTTTGTTTCGATTGCCTCTTGAACGTGATGGATGCAATCTCTCCAGTGGTTTGCCGCCAATCTGTTGACAGCTTCATAAAACAAATTTTCCACGCCAGAAGATTTGAATGTTCTAGTTTGAAGCCACATAGTTTTTTATAGTTGCCCATCATCAATAGGATTTGATTCGCAGTGAAACGGTCTATTTTGGTTTTTAGTCATTTCGTCAATAACATTAAGATTATATGTATACTAAGTGACATATAAATCCGAACACCCAGTTTAAATGGTTTTATTTTAATAAAATTTTGTATAAGTACTTAATGAAGCATAATAAGTAAATGATAAAAATTTCAAATTGCACTGCTTCAAAACCCTTTGACCTTTAATAATGTGTGGATGCATCCTGATGTGCTACGCATTCTCCAACGCGCATAGGCATGCTTCTGATCAGGTGGTCATTGTCCTCCTGTGGTATCTCATTCCAGGCAACCACCAACTCCTCTCGAAGTGCTTCTAGAGTCTGAGGAGGACATTGCAAATTGAGCAATCTCCTACCCGTCATATCCCACACGTGCTCAATTGGGGATAAGTCGGGAGATCTTGGTGGCCATGGTAACAATGTGACATCATTATATTGAATGAAGTCTATTGTGACTCTTGCAACACGTGGTCGGGCATTATCTTGTTGGAAAGTTGGATCTGCCAGGGTGTCAAGATAGGGTAAAAGATGGGGTTCTAGAACTTCGTGTATATAACGCTGCGCGTTCATGTTATATCTGATGAAGATTAAAGGTGACCTGGAACCATAAGCTATAGCACCCCAAACCATAACTCCAACAGTGTGATGAACATGTATTTCAACAAAAAACTGTGGATTCCTCCTTTCACCACGTCGCCTTCTAACCCTGGCATGACCATCGTGCATGCCTAAACAAAATCGAGACTCGTCACTAAAGACAATACTGTTCCATTCCTGATCCCAGAGTGACCGTTGTCTGCACTACTCAAGGCGATTACGTCGGTGTTCTCGAGTTAAAGGGAGTACCCAGTGTGGCCGGTATGAAAACAAGCCAAAACTTCTCATTCGTCGGTAAACACTTCGCATGCCAATAGGTCTTCCGTGTTCTGCAAACCATTCATTTGCAATGGACCTGGTAGTGGAGAAACGGTCCCTTAAGGCCAATAATCTTAGGCGGCGATCTTCACGGTCTGTTGTTCTACGGCGGCGTCCAGTGCCCCCTGCTCTTTGCGTACGGCCTTCTCGAAGCCATGCCTGACAACACCTAACCACAGTGTCTACACTTCTTTGCACTCTAACTGCAATTGCCCGAAAAGAAAGTCCAGCTTCCCGAAGTCCCACTATACGGCCCCTATCAAACTCACTAAGTTGACGAAATCGTATAGGTCTTCGTACTCTAGGCATCGTAACCGATCGTAAAGTATGTCAAGAACCAAAATCCGCCAACATTGATTCTTTACTGCGGCTGAAATATTCATTTTTAGAGCGTTATTGAATTAAAAAAAAGCAGTATAAAAACCGGAATGTCCAACTGATAAGGCTGAAATTTTTTTCAGTTGTTATTTACAGTAAGATAAATACATTCACCAACTTTTATTAAAATAAAACCATTTAAACTGGGTTTTCGGATTTATATGTCACTTAGTATATATTTGTGCTGTCTGACTAAATGGATAAGTTCTGCTTTGACCATATTTTGATTGAAACTAGTGTCTTTTGAAAGAAGGCATTGTTGAATTTCTGCCTCTCTTGTGGACATTGTGGGAATTTTTTATAGTTTTCTAGTGTGGTATGCAGCATTATCAAGTACAACGACAGCATTATTGTCAAGCTTTGGGAGCGTTTCTTCAAACCATCGTTCCAACGAACTCCCGTCCATTTCTTCATGGTAGTCGGTCGTTTTCTTTGACTCAAATGCCCGTAGGGCAGTGGGCACCAAGCCATATTCACTGCCAATGTCACATATAACAAATCGTTTTCTTGGAAATTATTATTTCATATAGTATTCAAGAAAACTAATAATAATACAAGCAGAGTATCTACCAGATATAGCTAAGTTTTCAGCGTGAGCTCATACATTCAGTCTACTTGACATCATATTTACAACACAAATGACGAATTGGTTAGGTACACGTACCTGTCGGATTCTGTAGGCCAGTAGTTAGTCCATCTAAGAAGGCTTGTCGTGCTGATTTAATTGTAGAGTCAGCCCATACTTTAGGTTTTGTATGTCCTGCATTCCTGCTCTAATCGCGGTATCTCTTTATTGATTTTAAATAATCTCTTCTCCATAAAATAATATCTTGGCTGTCCATCAAAATACTATGTCTGCGCCGTTTTACATACTCAAAATGAAGTTCTTTGAGTAAACTATAGAACGTAGTCCTTTTGAAACTACATCACTATTAACCTCCTGTAATAATTTGTCTACGGTGTGAAGTTCCCGCATTTCAAAAAATTTATGGACTTCGTCTGAAGGCATTCCGATCAAAGTTATCAACTGTATGCAACGCTTCGTGTAATACAGTCTCTTGTGTGATGGAGACAATCTTTTGTTTTTCTTATATATACTAAGTGACATATAAATCCGAACACCCAGTTTAAATGGTTTTATTTTAATAAAATTTTGTATAAGTACTTAATGAAGCATAATAAGTAAATGATAAAAATTTCAAAATGATTGCACTGCTTTAAAGCCCTTTGACCTTTAATAATGTGCTGCGCATTCTCCAACGCGCCTAGGCATGCTTCTGATCAGGTGGTCAATGTCCTCCTGTGGTATCTCATTCCAGGCAACCACCAACTCCTCTCGAAGTGCTTCTAGAGTCTGAGGAGGACGTTGCAAATTGAGCAATCTCCTACCCATCATATCCCACACGTGCTCAATTGGGGATAAGTCGGGAGATCTTGGTGGCCATGGTAACAATGTGACATCATTATGTTGAAAGAAGTCTATTGTGACTCTTGCAACATGTGGTCGGGCATTATCTTGTTGGAAAGTTGAATCTGCCAGGGTGTCAAGATAGGGTAAAAGATGGGGTTCTAGAACTTCGTGGATATAACGCTGCGCGTTCATGTTACCTTTGATGAAGATTAAAGGTGACCTGGAACCATAAGCTATAGCACCCCAAACCATAGTCATGTCTCTTCGAAGATTAAAGATTTAAATTGGTTAAAGATGGAATCACAGTTTGTTTATGCTATGAAGGTGTTTGTCCATAAAGTAGTTTGCACCAAAAAACCACCGTACATTTTAGAAAAGCTAGTACCAAGAGGTAACATTAATCAGAGAAATCTCAGACACAACCTAAATTTTGCGATGCCAGTCCACTATACGGCCCTTTTCCAGAAAAGCTTCACATTTCATGCTGTCAAGTTATACAACTCTACAGATAAAATATGTCGCAGTAAAACAATAGTGCCTTTCAGGAGACTCGTTAAGAAACAGCTGATGGGATATTAATAGTGTGCATTTGCATTTATTGTTTGTATGTGTATCGAGTGTTACTCTTTCGTACACAGTGAGGTTAAGTGTAAGAGTAGCCATTTGGCTAAACTTCGCCTCACTGATGTATTCTGATTAATAAAGACATTTATTATTATTATTATTATTATAACTCCAACAGTGTGATGAACATGTCTTTCAACAAAAAACTGTGGATTCCTCCTTTCACCACGTCGCCTTCTAACCCTGGCACGACCATCGTGCATGCCTAAACAAAATCGAGACTCGTCACTAAAGACAATACTGTTCCATTCCTGATCCCAGAGTGACCGTTGTCTGCACCACTCAAGGCGATTACGTCGGTGTTCTCGAGATAAAGGGAGGACCCAGTGTGGCCGGTATGAAAACAAGCCAAAACTTCTCATTCTTCGGTAAACACTTCGCATGCCAATAGGTCTTCCGTGTTCTGCAAACCATTCATTTGCAATGGACCTGGTAGTGAAGAAACGGTCCCTTAAGGCCAACAATCTTAGGCGGTGATCTTCACGGTCTGTTGTTCTACGGCGGCGTCCAGTGCCCCTTGCTCTTTGCGTACGGCCTTCTCGAAGCCATGCCTGACAACACCTAACCACAGTGTCTACACTTCTTTGCACTCTAACTGCAATTGCCCGAAAAGAAAGTCCAGCTTCCCGAAGTCCCACTATACGGCCCCTATCAAACTCACTAAGTTGACGAAATCGTACAGGTCTCTGTACTCTAGGCATCGTAACCGATCGTAAAGGATGTCAAGAACCAAAATCCGCCAACGTTGATTCTTTACTGCGGCTGAAATATTCATTTTTAGAGCGTTAGTGAATTAAAAAAAGCAGTATAAAAACCGGAATGTCCAACTGATAAGGCTGAAAATTTTTTCACTGGTTATTTACAGTAAGATAAATACATTCACCAACTTTTATTAAAATAAAACCATTTAAACTGGGTGTTCGGATTTATATGTCACTTAGTATACTTTAACAATGTTGAAAATTGTCACACGTCTTTCAATATCATGAATTCTCATTTCAGGATGCTCTAAAATTTCGCTCTTATAAACGTTAAAGACAATTTCTTTTGCCTCAAATGTCCCTTCTTGTCAAGTTTTCGGGGAGGTGATATCACCGAAGAGGAAGCAATGGCTGAAAGAAGCATTTGGAGAAATATTCTCAGTTTCATCTGCTGTATCCGTAGACGACATGCTAATGTATGCACCTAATATGAACAGCTTCGCGAGAATTTATTGCATGAAAAATGTGATTTTAGCTGTCTCTATTGCATGCGACATTAATAACTCGATATTCCAGAACACCCCCCCCCCCCCCCACCTCAATCAGGCTACATTTAGATTAAGCAGTAAAGTAGTACTTACCAGTTATGGTTCCTCATTTTAACTGGTGGGTGGTCAGCAGGGTTATAGTTTTCAGGAAGACTATACTGACTCTTACAGCTCATATTTGCACTGGCGGCGTTCTGGTGTGTTAGCCTGTAACAATTTGAAAAATGAAGGTCTCTACATCGAATTTGTTATGAAACCAATAACACCAGTCACTTTATAATTGTTTCAATGAGGTACTGCTACGGATTATCATAAAAATTTTGACATCAATTTTGACTACCAATTTCTATCTAGGAGGTTTTCAAGTTTTTTGAAGTGAATCCAAATGCAGTAGATATCCAAACATCTTCCAGTTAGTAAGTAAACTGAATATTTGCTTGATGTTTATTGAAGAATAAGCATTCAGTACTTTTATTTATGTCCTCAAAGAATTTATCAAGCAAACATTTTTACCGCAACAGTGATATGCTGTTATTTTCAATAAAATGGTTAGTAATGACGTCATGCCAATCTATTGTATCAGCTTTGATCCATATTTTGAGTAGGTCGTAAATCCTTCTTGATTGATGGAATTTGCGACAGCTTTCATGTTCGGACACAAATGAATGAATGATACTCGAGAATTATGCGTTTCATGCAAATACTGAACGTAAAAAAACCGTCACAGGTTGATACTTCACTCTTAAATTACATCATTATTCACATATTTGAAGTAAAATATTGTGTTTGCCCATCGGATTTCTATATCACTCTACGTTGTGAAATTTAAAATTTATTTTGATTTATATTTCATTTTTAGGTTGTACGTCAAATAAAGGAGAGTAGGGCGACCACGCCAGGTAATAACTTAATTCATATATCATATGTTCCAAAATTTAATTTGTGACACATTCTGCAATTTTAACTATTTTAACGGGGCTCCTACAATCACGAGCACCATCTACTGAGGTAACGGAGGGGTGGAAAGGAAACGAGGGTGGGCTGGCCTTAGACGGTCGTCGGCGCTACTTTAAAAGAGGAAAGGATGACTGCGGGTGTGTACCGAGGTAAATTTTTATAATAACAGAGTCGGATTTCGATTAGCGATCTAGCCTGTAAATCGTTTCCTATTTTGGTACTCAACAAGTGATCATTTAGTATTGCTCTACCCTTGTTACTGTTCATTCATATTGTGTTGTTGAATTGTTGTGCCGTACTCTTGTTGGTGTGATTGTTCTTGAGTGCCTTTTTTATCAAGATTGATAATGGACAATAAAAGGTCATATGCGACAATTTTAATTACGAATGCAGTGAGCTTAATTCATGATGAGGACAACAGTTCAACTCTATAATCGCAAAACACATTGGGGTCAAACCTATAGAGCAGGTACCGATTTTTTTAAATGGTAGCACATTATTCGTCGGATTTTCGTCAAAATGGCACTATTATGCTTTGGAACTCCTAAATTAACCATAATTTGTGTAATTATAAATTTGGAATTTCGACATTAATAACTAGAAGCTTATACTTTAATTGCAGTCTATAATGAACTTACTTGTCTTGCCAAAAAGCTCGTTAAACTGCCAGTCTTAATGGTATCAATCGATTTATATGCTGTATTCCAAGGAGCTTGAATCATCAGAATTGTTGATGTCAATTATAAGGGGTTCAACTTGGGTGTCAATGATATTGTCCATATCCCACATTTTGGTTTCCACCTTCTCTTGGACATGGTCAATACATGTTCTCCATTTTGCTGGCGTAATTCTATCGACAGCAACATCAAACAGTTTTTTAAGGTCAGAAAATTTAAAAGTGCTGTTATTTGACGCCACGTATTGCTTGATGTCGGCCCAAATCAACTCGATAGGATTCAGTTCGCAGTGATAGGGAGGCAGCCTGAGAATCGTTTTATTTTGGTTTTTGGCCATTTCGTCAACAATTTTTAAATAATATTTATACTTATGTCGCTTGACTATATTTATCAGCTCAGCTTTGACCATTGTTTGGTCGAAGTCGATCTTCTTTGAGACAAGCCACTGTTGAATGTCTGCCTTTTTGGTGGCCATTGTTGGAATTTGTTCCAATTTTCTGGAGTGGTACGGTGCATTATCCATCACAATAATTGCGTTATCATCAAGTGTCGGCAAAATTTTTTTGAACCAATTTTCAAATGAGTTACCATCCATTTCTTCGTGATAGTCTTCAGTTTTTTTGGATTCAAACGCCCACAATGCTTCAGGAACAAATCCATCTACGCTACCTATGTGGCAAATGATCAGGCGTTTTCACTTGCCTGAAAGTAATCAATTATTTTACTTCTCAGCGAGCGCACTAAATGACGAAATTAAGCAACTTACTCTTTTTAGGTTAGTGTAGGATAGGGTCTTAGATTAGTTTTTGGGTGAAGGAAATACTCAGAAACTTGGATGAGATAGCAAAACTGAGTTCGGAGCTTCCAAATCATTGATTCGATCAGAAAATGAATTATCTGCATCCAAAAAAGTTCATATATACTTCGAAACTTACCTGCAGGATTTTTCAATCCCGTCGAAAGGCCATCTAAAAAAGCCTGCCTTGAGGACCTCACAGATCTATTTACCCAAACCTTTCCCTGCGTATGCCCCGCGTTCACCCATGTTTCGTCTAAATAATAAATTTTTCTTCCTTCAGCGCGGAATTGCCTAATTTTTCTAAGGTATTCTCTCCTCCAGATAACAATTTCCTCCTTTTCTATCAATAAACTATTCCTTCCTCTTTTCAAAAATCGAAAGTCTAGTTCTTTCAACAGCTTATGGAACGTAGATCTTTTAAAATTTGGCAGGTCCTCATCATCATTCACTTGCTTCAATATTTTATCTATTGTAGGTATTTCATTCCTGAAGAAAAAGTGATGTACTTTTCTTCTAATGGCACTTTTGTCAAAGTCATCTATTTTTTCGATGATTTTTTTTCTCGCTGGATATGTTTTTGACTCAGATAGTGATTTTGATAGTGATAGTGATTTTGTCTATATTCCTTCAAGATTTTGTAAACACTTGATCGACCTACTCCAGAAATTTCAGCAGCCTTACATACGATATTTTCTATAGCCAATCCACTATTCTCTTGCATCTGGTTCTTGTAGATATTTAGCATAATTTGTTTTTCACCTGCGCTAAGATGAAGCTTTTTAGCCCTTTTTCTGGGTGACGTTAAGCTGATTTCAACCACTTCATCAGCTGTATCTGTGTAAGACATTTTAGACTAATATTAAATTTCCGCAAGAAAAATCAAGTCAAGACGTGCATAAAACGTTCGCGCTCATAAACGGGTATCCGTAACTGATTACAATCCTGTGCGCGGTGACGAACCATCAACGTGACGCTGAGAGTTCCCTCTACTATGCAGCGTTGCCAGGCTTAATGTCACAATGATCATGTTTTATTGGGAAAATTGTCAGAAATCGCCGAATGTTGAACAGAAACATTACAAGAAGTCTAACCTTGAAATGTGAGGCTACAAATCGATATTCTTATAGGGGGGAAGAGTAGGGAGCTGTTATGGTTCCTATTAACCTTGGTGAAAGTTGGAAACGGTAATATCATATATGGCATACATTCGGTTGAAGGTGTGTGCACGGAAAATAGATTGCGGATAGGATTTTAATAGATAAATCTGCACAAAAAAACACAAAAGGAGATTTTTGTATTTCCCTGAAGAATATCTCAAGGTTATTTCAGATGTACTCATCGAAACTTTATGGAAGGATTATCGAAACCTTATTTTCAATTGCGTTAGGGCCACATACCTCGACATCGCATTAATGTGAAAAATAAGACAATAGAAAAAAATTCCCTCACTGATGCTATCTCTTAGGAAAAATTTAACTATAAAGATTGCACAAAAATTTTCTTCACCTTTTTGAGCTTGTTTTCGCATCTCCGTATATGCCGTTCATAATTTGCTGCAGATCAAATTGGAATATACCTTTGTGATGCCATTTATTGTTATATAATGTCCTTTACAACAGTTATTGCACGTATTGCACCAACAGATTGATTTGTGATCCATGCGAATGTGATCAACCACTCTGGCGAAAACTCGCCGAGTGTGGCAACCGTGCGACTTTGTCTGGAGGCTCGTCGCTACAAGCCAATCAGGAAGAGGCCGACAGAGCGCCATGGCTACCGATCACGAGTTGATCACGAATCAACCACTGTTTACGATTACTTTGTAGCTTCGTTAGATACACTTTATCTTCAATCGTTGTGAAGCTATTCGAGTTTATGATAAAATTCGACTAACTTGCACGGTAAAAAATAATAATCATGGATACCAGCAAGAACATTTAGCATCAGTCAGTGTCATCATATACAATAGAAAAACTTTCTTTCATTTCAAATTGTTAAATTACCTACCTAGTTGTGATGAATATTGAATAATGACTTATTCAATTTAAGAAAGGGTAGAAATAACAAAACTGTATTACCAAAATGGGGGCATTGCATTGCCCTGTGTTACAAAGTCCCAGCACCGGAAGTGTAACTTGTCTGTTCAAAACTTGAATTAACAAACCATCTTTAAGCTCCCTATAATTCATGTGACTTTGAGCTTCATCTGCAATACTATTCAAGCTTGGGTAGATAGACCTGTGATAGAACTTTATGACAGTATTGATGACAACATCAGCACACTCATCAGCTTGACGTTAGCATCATGACAGAACCACAAATATGAGTCATTTACACATTTTAGTTTTACTGCTGCTATACACTAATCTAGCCGAGTCGTACTTTTATCCTATAAGCTGCGAAAAGTGCGGCGAGAAAGAAGAATCGCTTTTCAGTCATACAGAACATGCCAGCGACCTCGTTGGTTTGATGGTCAATAGTATTTTGATTCCAATCAGCCACGGATTATGCAACTTGTGGGTCAATTTTGTGGAGGTTTATGACTGTATCACCAGCCAGTAAGTATCACCAATTTAAATAAAAATGTGACAATAGTCGTAGATCGTAGGGCTTCCAGACATAAATTTTTGTTTGAAAGACAAAACGAGGGACTTTGAGTGTAGTTTATCTGTAATTTCGTCTGCGTACCTGAGTTGGGTAGATGGCCGATTTACAGGTAGGTCACAGGTGAGACAAGTAAGTAAAAATAGGATTAACTTGAATTCTGATGGATGATTTTTAGTTATACTTTGTAAAACACTATTAGATAGTATAACCGCCATATCGTCGAAATGTCACACACACACACACAGAGCCGTCCTTAGCAGATGCGAGGTCTGGAGAAAAACATTTTTGCGAGGCCTTTTTTCAAAGAAAGTGGTCTACTCCGAACTTTTTTTAAAATTCTCCTGCTGAAACTGTTTTTAGCTTTTTGATGAAGTCATTTTATCTCAAAACACGCCAATTATACTACGTGACATATAAATCCGAACACCCAGTTTAAATGGTTTTATTTTAATAAAATTTTGTATAAGTACTTAATGAAGCATAATAAGTAAATGATAAAAATTTCAAAATGATTGCACTGCTTTAAAGCCCTTTGACCTTTAATAATGTGTGGATGCACCCTGATGTGCTACGCATTCTCCAACGCGCCTAGGCATGCTTCTGATCAGGTGGTCAATGTCCTCCTGTGGTATCTCATTCCAGGCAACCACCAACTCCTCTCGAAGTGCTTCTAAAGTCTGAGGAGGACGTTGCAAATTGAGCAATCTCCTACCCATCATATCCCACACGTGCTCAATTGGGGATAAGTCGGGAGATCTTGGTGGCCATGGTAACAATGTGACATCATTATATTGAAAGAAGTCTATTGTGACTCTTGCAACATGTGGTTGGGCATTATCTTGTTGGAAAGTTGGATCTGCCAGGGTGTCAAGATAGGGTAAAAGATGGGGTTCTAGAACTTCGTGGATATAACGCTGCGCGTTCATGTTACCTCTGATGAAGATTAAGGGTGACCTGGAACCATAAGCTATAGCACCCCAAACCAGAACTCCAACAGTGTGATGAACATGTCTTTCAACAAAAAACTGTGGATTCCTCCTTTCACCACGTCGCCTTCTAACCCCGGCACGACCATCGTGCATGCCTAAACAAAATCGAGACTCGTCACTAAAGACAATACTGTTCCATTCCTGATCCCAGAGTGACCGTTGTCTGCACCACTCAAGGCGATTACGTCGGTGTTCTCGAGTTAAAGGGAGGACCCAGTGTGGCCGGTAAGAAAACAAGCCAAAACTTCTCATTCGTCGGTAAACACTTCACATGCCAATAGGTCTTCCGTGTTCTGCAAACCATTCATTTGCAATGGACCTAGTAGTGGAGAAACGGTCCCTTAAGGCCAATAATCTTAGGCGGCGATCTTCACGGTCTGTTGTTCTACGGCGGCGTCCAGTGCCCCTTGCTCTTTGCGTACGGCCTTCTCGAAGCCATGCCTGACAACACCTAACCACAGTGTCTACACTTCTTTGCACTCTAACTGCAATTGCCCGAAAAGAAAGTCCAGCTTCCCGAAGTCCCACTATACGGCCCCTATCAAACTCACTAAGTTGACGAAATCGTACAGGTCTCCATACTCTAGGCATCGTAACCGATCGTAAAGGATGTCAAGAACCAAAATCCGCCAACGTTGATTCTTTACTGCGGCTGAAATATTCATTTTTAGAGCGTTAGTGAATTAAAAAAAGCAGTATAAAAACCGGAATGTCCAACTGATAAGGCTGAACATTTTTTCACTTGTTATTTACAGTAAGATAAATACATTCACCAACTTTTATTAAAATAAAACCATTTAAACTGGGTGTTCGGATTTATATGTCACTTAGTATATATACGTAGTATTTTTCATTTGCCAGGTTTGAGTCTATTTTTATTTTTGTTGTAAGTTTACAATATTTCACTCTGTGTCAAGAATAATTCTTCTCAATTACTGAGATGAGAAAGAAATGTGATTTATGACTATGGTATAAACTCTTCTACTTTATTTTTTTAAGCAATCAATCATTAGGAAAATTATAATAAAATTCAGGAAATAAACAAATTTGTATAAGAAATCTTTTTTTTTGTAGTGAGTAATCAATTATAAATAAGCACATATTATTGCAAAATATTCATATTATTTGCACATACTATTATTTGTTTGGTATTCTTAAGTGAAAAACTTAAGTATTGTTTAAAATTTTTCCTCGGCAGATTCTGACATAGGCTCATCTTCTTCCTCGAACTCAAACATTATCTGTCTGACTTCTTTGAACTTTGGCTTTGACCCAGAGTTTCACAGAGTTCTCTTGCTACCAATGTGGCCGCCACAAAATTTAGATTATTCCAAGAACATTGACGAAAATACGGACCTGTAGATATCGCTTTTGGGCATGTTGTATTTTGTCTGTGCGTAAATGGGGTATAGACATGTTTATATGCATTTTTTTTTATATTCTAACGTACTGATTCTGACCTTCTCTTTTCCTGGCAGCGTAATGGCTATTTGGGTCGGTTCTTTTCTCAAAAATAATGTAAAATGTTGTTGTAGATACGCTGCAACTGAACCAGAGGTAGAACAGCCAAGTTCTATAACGCAATGGATGATGACATGGTTAGGATTCGTAGAAAAAGAAGAAACTATGGAAAAATGCTCATACCACTCAATAACAATTGTTGTTGGCTCCCTTCTATTGATGGCCAGCATCGCTTTCTCTACGAAAAAGATGGTGGATTACCTTAGAGAAGAGCCGTGTCTCGATGTACAGCCTAGAGGTAGTTTTAACAAGAAATTCAATATATGTAATTGTAAATTAAATGATGCTGTGTATGCCTGAGATTGAGTTTATATTCGTAATTTGTATGTCTGAGCAGTCCGTAGGTCCTCTGGCCGTTATTACGGATGTGCCAGCTCAGGTTGCGTAAAGCAGGACGGTTAGACAAGAAGTGACAAGATTTCCTCACACATGGATGCAGTAGAAATATAATATGCTGATACAGAGGATGTTAACATGTGAACTTCAAGGCGCGAGATAAGATTCCATAGCGTAGCGACAATGCTAGCAAGAAATACAAGTACCAGGTAATAATTATAACATTATATAAAATACAGGGCGATGATGGATATAACTCCTCCCCTCTTAAACCCTTAGAACGTCCTCGTTCTTATCGGTCTCAATAGACTGATTTGACTTTCGAGATGATTTTTTCTCTTTACAGAACTTTTTTTAATTTTACCACAAGCACAAACAATATAACAACAAATACACCTATTACGGACAACAAATTTTAGTTTTTTAATTGTATCTTGTGGGAAAAGTGCACTTCTTTGTTAATTTTGGGGCGCTGAATCCAAAAATGACAATGAAATAAAAAAAATACTTGCGGTTTAGAAAAAAAACTTTTTATTTTTAAGGATATATTAAAAAAAGTAACAAGATTCATATACTTATAAGAATCACTATATGCGCTGTCCTGTTGCTGTTCTTTTATGGATCGTTTCTGGAGCATCTCTACCAAGAGTCCAACAGTAGTCTGCAAGCATGGAAGGATTCCACTTTCCCTGGTACCTTTTTTCCATTGTTGAAATATCCTGATGAAAACGTTCGCCGTGCTCATCACTTACGGCTCCGCAATTGTCAGGAAAAAAGTCCAGGGGTGAGTGTAGGAAATGTATCTTAAGAGACATATTACAGCCCATCTTTTGTTACGATGACAGCATATTTTTGACAAGGGTTTTATAGTTGTCAGCTTTTCTATGTCCCACGAAATTAGTGACCACCAGACGGAAATCATTCCAAGCAGTTTTTTCAATACCTGTTAAAGTGTTTTCGAACTGTGTATCTTTCAAAATATTTCGAATCTGTGGCCCAACAAAAATACCTTCATTAACCTTTGCCTCACTTAGTCTTGGAAATTTCTGACGCAGGTATTGAAAAGCAAAAGTGCAACAACTTTCAAATCGCCACAAATATGCCATTGGTGCTCATCGTATTTTATGCATGTCAATAGGTACTTCATATTGTCATATGATTCTTTCATGTGAACTGCATACCCTACAGGAAGAGATGGTAAAATATTTCCAATATGCAATAACACTGCCTTTAAACTCAATGTCGAACTGTCTATAAACAATCTCCATTCTTCTGGGTTATAGATTATATTTAAAGCCGCCAGTAAGCCGTTAATGTTACTGCAGAAAACTAAGTTATTCTCCATATTGAAAAATGGTTCTAAGTCTTTGTGGCGTTTACGAAAAACACACCGAAACATCGTCTTCTAACAAGTTCCACTGCTGCAGTCTTGATCCAAGTAACTCTGCCTTACATTTTGAAAGTTCTAAATCTCTTACAAGATCATTTAATTCTGACTGTGTTATTTTGTGCGGTTGGTGGCATGACGTGCTCGGTATAAAATCAGGATCTCTTGACGTTGCATGGCATATCTTCTTCCTGACGAATCACTCGATCGCCATGATCTGATTCGTTTTCTGATTCGCAAGTGTAGGATTCTGGGGGTTTTGGAATAGGATTTTCGTCACTGTGAGGCACAGGTCTCATCGCATGGTATGTTTGGGTAGTTAATAACCGATTTTTTTTTCTTGGATATACCTGTGGCTTGTCCAACACAAGGTACCATGCAAAAGTAACAATCATTAATTTGATTTGTAGGCTCTCTCCAAACCATTGGGACAGCAAAGCGCATAGACCGTTTTTTGCCATTTAACCAGCTCCTCAGACTTGAAGCACATGTATTACAGCAGATGTGGGGTGCCCACTGTTTGTCTTGATCACCTAGTTTACAACCGAAATAAAGCTGATATGCCTTTGTTATTAGTGGAGTAATAGACCGTCTCTGAGACGCAAAAGTCACATCACCACACACGTAACAAAACTGATCTGGATTGTTTACACACTTTTGAGACATCTTGCATGAACGCTGTCAGCCAACTGAGGAAAAAATGGCTAATATAAAACAATATAATGTACACGTATGTATAACGTAACACAATCATGCCGATTACTTCATCTTTCCTTGCCGAATATAAAAATGTAGCACTTGCATTCTTGTGAATTACAGTATATTAACACTGTCACAGCAGGAACACATATAATTACCGTATCTCTAAAACTTGAACTAATATTGAAAAAATAAGTTTCATTCCGGTTTTAGCACATTAAAAATAATAATATTTTGTTGATTTTGTTTAGGATATTTTTTGGCTGTTGATCAGTGTTATAAGAGAGCTATACTAAGTGACATATAAATCCGAACACCCAGTTTAAATGGTTTTATTTTAATAAAAGTTGGTGAATATATTTATCTTACTGTAAATAACAAGTGAAAAATTTTCAGCCTTATCAGTTGGACATTCCGGTTTTTATACTGCTTTTTTTTAATTCACTAACGCTCTAAAAATGAATATTTCAGCCGCATTAAAGAATCAACGTTGGCGGATTTTGGTTCTTGACATCCTTTACGATCGGTTACGATGCCTAGAGTACGGAGACCTGTACGATTTCGTCAACTTAGTGAGTTTGATAGGAGCCGTATAGTGGGACTTCGGGAAGCTGGACTTTCTTTTCGGACAATTGCAGTTAGAGTGCAAAGAAGTGTAGACACTGTGGTTAGGTATTGTCAGGCATGGCTTCGAGAAGGCCGTACGCAAAGAGCAAGGGGCACTGGACGCCGCCGTAGAACAACAGACAGTGAAGATCGCCGCCTAAGATTATTGGCCTTAAGGGACCGTTTCTCCACTACCAGGTCCATTGCAAATGAATGGTTTGCAGAACACGGAAGACCTATTGGCATGCGAAGTGTTTACTGACGAATGAGAAGTTTTGGCTTGTTTTTATACCGGTCACACTGGGTCCTCCCTTTAACTCGAGAACACCGACGTAATCGCCTTGAGTGGTGCAGACAACGGTCACTCTGGGATCAGGAATGGAACAGTATTGTCTTTAGTGACGAGTCTCGATTTTGTTTAGGCATGCACGATGGTCGTGCCAGGGTCAGAAGGCGACGTGGTGAAAGGAGGAATCCACAGTTTTTTGTTGAAAGACATGTTCATCACACTGTTGGAGTTATGGTTTGGGGTGCTATAGCTTATGGTTCCAGGTCACCTTTAATCTTCATCAGAGGTAACATGAACGCGCAGCGTTATATCCACGAAGTTCTAGAACCCCAACTTTTACCCTATCTTGACACCCTGGCAGATCCAACTTTCCAACAAGATAATGCCCGACCACATGTTGCAAGGGGCACAATAGACTTCTTTCAACATAATGATGTCACATTGTTACCATGGCCACCAAGATCTCCCGACTTATCCCCAATTGAGCACGTGTGGGATATGATGGGTAGGAGATTGCTCAATTTGCAACGTCCTCCTCAGACTCTAGAAGCACTTCGAGAGGAGTTGGTGGTTGCCTGGAATGAGATACCACAGGAGGACATTGACCACCTGATGAGAAGCATGCCTAGGCGCGTTGGAGAATGCGTAGCACATCAGGGTGCATCCACACATTATTAAAGGTCAAAGGGCTTTAAAGCAGTGCAATCATTTTGAAATTTTTATCATTTACTTATTATGCTTCATTAAGTACTTATACAAAATTTTATTAAAATAAAACCATTTAAACTGGGTATTCGGATTTATATGTCACTTAGTATAATTATTCCAGTGATGTTTGATGAAATATCACCACTAGGACATGTTTATGCAAAAAAACAATGATTAACAGCAAAAATGTTCAAAAACTTACAGTAACACGACCACACACCGAAGATTCATGGGAAACGTTGAAAAAACATTCGTCTTCTACCTTTTCTTCTTTCTTCGGCTTCACTAGTTTCTACGATAGGCTGGTTGTGCCGCTAAAGATGCAGCACACTCTCCTAGCTGAACCGCTTCTATTGTCAAGGTTTTCGGGAGTTCTGGAACTTAGGGTCGACGCCCAATGCTGCTGATCCTTAGTACCTTCACTCTATTGTTGCTGGCTGTGGATCCCTCTAAGAACTTGAAAGTTCGCGTGTCTATGACTGGTGATTTCGGCCGGCCGATACTCTGCTCGATTGTCTCGAATTCGGACGCCGAAGGTGCACGTTTCCCGTTTCGCGACACGCTGAAGGATCCCGGTTGAGCCCCCAGTTCAATTACTGCCACCGAAATACTTGTTTAAAAAAAAACTTTATTTCGATTAACGGTACAAAAGGACTTTTGTGAAACCTTGTCACGACGATGCGTAAAACAGGACGGTTTGACAAAAAGTCACAAGATTTCCTCACACATGGATGTAGTAGAAATATAATATGCTGATACAGAGGATGTTAACATGTGAACTTCAAGGCGCGAGATAAGATTCCATAGCGTAACGACAATGCTAGCAAGAAATACAAGTACCAGGTAATAATTATAATATTATATAAAATACAGGGTGATGATGGATATAACTTGCATACTCTATGTCCACGGGGTGGAGGACGAGCTAACTTTGACGCAAGTATAAAAAACAAACCCCAATTTTTGATTTGGAGTCACTGTGGATGGTTCTTTAGTAATAGTACACCTCAAACAACTATGTGACGCCAATACTGATCAATTTATTGAAAACGATAGTGTCTCACTGTTGCTGCATAAAATGCTGCTTGATAAATTTTTCATAGACATAAATACAATTATAGATTGCTTATTCTTTAACAAACGTCGGATGAATAATCAGTTTACTTGACCACACTGCGAAAAACCTCACTCATGAAATAGTTTTGTGGGATATTTCAGCTATTTCGCATGCCCATTCGATATTCGAGCGTTTTATGATCCTACAATGTATCGATCCACACAACCTTCTCGTGTGTATTTCAATAGGCAAACAATAGTTCTTCATTTTTAGCAAACAAGATAAGATAATGGAGCTTCCGATAGTAGATAATACAACTTTTATAAATAATAGGAAATATTTTCGACGAGTAGCAATAAAACGTGAAGTGACATTATTACACTTACGCTTATAACGGGTGATTTTTTAAGAGGTATAGGACTTGATTTTCAAAAAAAAACAAAATATTTGAAAAATCGATTAAATCTTTATTTGAGTCGATAGAACGGTCGATATAATTTCATGTTTAAAATGCTTCAATATTGGCTCACAGTGCGTCAATCGTTGTTGGTTTATCCCTGTAGACATTAGCCTTAACATGGCCCCACAAGAAATAGTCCAACGGCGTTAAATCACACGATCTAGGCGGCCAAGTGACGGGCTCCAAACGTGAGATAAACTGTTCACCGAACTCGCCTCTCAATAGGGCCATTGTTTCGTGTGCGGTGTGGCATGTGGCACCGTCTTGTTGAAACCACATGTCATCCAAGTCCAGCTCTTCCATTTTGGGCAAAAAAAAGTTTGTTATCACCGCACGGTAGCGCTCTCCATTGCCGTTCCGGCCATTGTCGTCTTTGAAGAAGTACGGCCCATAATCTACACCAGTGATTTTTTCGGGATGCATTGGTAGCTCTTGCAATGCTTCTAGCTGGTCTTCACTCCAGATGAGGCAATTTTGCTTGTTAACGTACCCATTCAACCAGAAATGAGCTTCGTCGCTGAACACAATTTTTCGATAAAAATGTGGATCTTCCTCCAACTTTGCCAGTGCCCATTCACCAAATTGGAAACGTTGTGGGAGGTCGTGTGGCTTCAATTCTTGCACCAGCTGTATCTTATAAGGTTTTACACCCAAATCCTGTCGCAAAATTTTCCACGTAGTGGAGTAACAGAGGCCCAATTGCTGCAAACGCCGGTGAATCGACATTTCACGGTCATCACTAACACTGGCGGATACAGCCGCAATATTTTCTTCAGTCCTCACTCTACGTCTGCGTGTTGGTGGTTTAATGTCCAATAATGTAAACTGGGTTCGAAATTTAGTCACAAGCTTCCGAATAGCTCCCTCAGTAGGCCGACCAAATTGCTCATAAATTGGAAGCAGTGGTCGATGCACTCTCTTAACCGAGCATGAATTTTGATAGTAAAATTCAATAATTTGCAAGCCTTGTTCGTTCGTAAGTCGATTCATGGTTAAATTATAGACCAAACTGAACAAGTTTGACAATGACACAAGACACGATTCACGCGTCATCTGTCAAAAACAGTGTTGCCAAAAAAGATACTAGCAAAAAATCACCCATTACAAGATATTTCCTAAATATAAAGCAAACATTCAAGGGAATATTCCATGGACTCATCCGAGAGAATTTTGTCATTCGATTCTTAGAAAGGAAGTCAAATATTAGATTTTTTGATGCTAGCCAGGGGTAATCATGATAAAAGCTTCATTCATGGATAAACGAAGAAGTACAACTTTTGATAATTGGATGTTAGTTCTGTAAAAAAGCTTTTTGACCTTATATAAACATATATAACTCGCCTTTGCAGAGATCACTAAACCACAATATATTTACAGGAAAGTACCACACTGAAACTTTGCAGTACTCTTAGGGAAGAACCTGCAAAATGTCTGTCCAAAGATAAGCATATTTCACAATTCGAAACCAAGAAACGATAAGCCTGAATACCAAAGTCGCTCGATTTAAGGAGGCTATGAACAGTTTTTCGATACGATTTTTGCACGCAAGTTCAATGAAAAAACGTACATGCTAAATTTTGTGATCTACTTACATACTTTTAATCTGACCGGTAGGGAAGTCTCAAACGTAAATAAATAACAAGCGGAGAAAAACTAACCTATCAACAACTGTGCTGTCCTTATCCATTTTGATGGTTATGCTTTCACTACATAAACTAATAAAACGTTGTATTCATCGCTATTTGGAATCCCTCATAGCGCTCATAAAGATTATCTTATCTCGATGCTTGAAAATAACTTAATTAGTCTGATATATTTCGTCTGCAAATCCTCAAAGGCGTATAGTCCAGTCATCAAATTTCAAAGAATTCCAGATATATCAGATGACAAAAATAATATAATAATATAATAATATGCTAATATAATAATATAATAATATAATCATATAATAATATAATAATATAATAATATAATAATATAATAATATAATAATATAATAATATAATAATATAATAATATAATAATATAATAATATAATAATATAATAATATAATAACATAATAATGCATACAATAATATAATGATAATCGTGTTTATAACTACAAATTACAAAAGGTGAGATTTAGCTTAAAGCCACCCTTACACCTAACCTTCAGTTCAATTTGTTTTTGGGATATCGAGGAGATGTGGATTGATTTATTAATTTATCTACAAAAAATTAGCACAATGTATTCAAAACTAGCGGAAATTTTATTCCAATTTAAGTTCCCAATTGACAGAGAAACATGATCGTATTTTCTCAGTCAAAGAAAAGTTATAACACTGACTTTAGCAATTATCAAATTAGTTCAACTTGTCGCCGCTAGATGGCGCTTTGTGGATGTGTCAGGATTTTTTAAATTTCACATACAACAATATAATTTCTTTATACTGTTCGGAAGTGTCTAAAGTAGTGGACACTGCAGATCAATATATTTATTTGTAATGGAGATATATTAAGGAATAAAACGTACTCGTATCAATATGACACGATTTTAAGCTATTTTACTTTAAAATTTATTTTTAGGCTTTTTCGTAACCGCTAGGGGGCGTAGCTATCGCCTGATAAAGAAACATTCTATCTCCAATTATACCTCACCTTGTATCTCAGTTGTTTTTGAAATATAAACAGTTAAGAAAATACCGTGCTTCTACCTTTTTGTTCTATTTAGAAATGCGAATTGCGGAATATGAGATGTGTGTTATTGTACATCCATTGTAATGTTATAGTGGCTACTTTGTTTCAAAGAGTGTATTGATAAAATCTAGTGGACAATAATGTCATGAGGCGTTCTAGGACAAAGGAATAAACTAAAATAAATGAGTGCAACGTCAACGATTTAACGAAATCAGCTTGAAGATGTGACCAGACATCGATAACTCGCCTGGAAGTACGCCAAATTCCTGGGATACCGAAACATCTTTCAAGAAAAAGATTCAATGAAAAAAACAGTTTATTCTTTTGTTTCTAAAATATCATAACATGGCACACTAGATTTTATTAATACTCTCTTTTCAACGAAATGTCCGCTATAATATTACAATAGATGTAACACATCTCATAATTCACGCCTTTAGTAAATAGTTCAAATTGGTAGAAAACACTTCGCAGGCGTGGTGAACTGATCAACAGAACAGTTCGAACTCCTGAAAATGTTGAACGCGTTCGACAGGTCTTTCTTCGCAGTCCGACTCGATCTGCCCGGAAACATGCTGCTGCACTTGGCCTTAGTGATCGCTCGGTAAGGCGAGTTTTGCATATGGATCTCCGCTTTCACCTCTACAAATTGGCCATTGTGCAACAGTTACAGCCCGGAGATTATGCACAACGAATGAACTTCGCACGTGAGATGGAAGCACTGATCGATCAAAATGAGAACCTCATTTTGTTTATGAGTGACGAAGCCCACGTTCACCTAAACAGCATGGTTAACCAGCAGAATTGCCGTTATTGGGCTAATGAAAATCCGCAACTGTTACACGAAAGACCGCTGCACAGCCCAAAAGTAACTGTTTGGTGCGCTGTGTCGCAAACTTGCATCATTGGCCCTTACTTCTTCGAATACGGTAGTGGTCCCTGAATTACGACGGCGACGTGTTCCAATCCGACGTGTCTGGTTCCAGCAGGATGGGGCGACCGCCCACACAGCCCGAGCATCCATGGACGTTATTCGCCCTATCTTCCCTGGTCGCCTTATTTCCTGGTTTGGCGATGTTCATTGGCCTCCTCGGTGCCCAGATTTATCCATATGCGAGTTTTTCTTATGGGGACACCTCAAGGCTAGAGTATACGCGAACAAGCCCCGAACTCTGGACGAATTGAAGGGCGAAATTCGCGTGGAAGTCGCCCAAGTTAAGAGAGCGATGTTGGAGAGAGTCTACGCGAACTTCCAAGAACGCCTCCAGCACTGCATCAACGATTTCGGCCACCACATGCCTGATGTGATTTTCCACACTTGACTGTCTCAAATGCTATTTCCTTGTGACCCTGATTCAATCAATAAATTTGTTTTCGACTAAAAATTAACTATTTTATGATTTTTTTAAAACCGTCCATCCTCTCTGCCGCACCCTGTATTTTCAAAGTCTAACTCTGCTGTTT